ATGAATCTATTCACGTCTAAATGCAGCACTTTTTTTTTTGCGATGAGGCATTTGTTTTAATACTAAAATATCTGAATTACTTTGAATAAAGCTGGAAATTATGTCCCTTAATATAATTAAACAAATAAGGCACCAATGTTTTTGTAAGATATTTACATCTTTTAAGGACATTCGGTAGACTGATTCCCCACTGTTGGTTCAACCCCAAAACTTGTTTGTATTCAAAATTAATTATGACAATGCATATTTATATTGAAACAAACTATGTTAAAGGGAATTATATTATATAACAAAGGGCAAGGTCACCAGAGTTCAACTATGTTTGTACAATTGTTTTTTATTGTCTGTGGTCCTGCAGTTTTTCCTAAAACCGAATTGATGCTTTGAAATAATATTTTGTTTGTCCAAGTATGCTATTAGCCTAGTGTTCAGGATACTGGTAAACAGTTTTCCTAAGCAGCTAGAAACTGCAATCCCTCTGTAGTTATTAGGAATTGTCTTGGACTTGTGAATAGGAACGACTAAGCTCGTGTTCCAACTGGCTGGAAAAATGCCTGAATTATATATATGACTAATCAATTTTTGAAGCCCTTCAAGAATGTAGAATTCTCCATATTTAAACATTTCATTACAGAGCTCATCCTCCCCTGATGTTTTATTTAGTTTAAGTTGATTAATTGCTTTTGTGATTTCATATGTTGCGTACCAAATCAGACGGGGGAGTCGTCACCTGCGCATGCGTCAGATGACCATAGCGTGTCATTGTTTACAAACAAGCACCTATACCCATGAGCCTTTGCGTTTTTAGTGTGTGTTGAATAGAATAGAATAGAATAGAATAATGCTTTATTAATACCGTAAAGAAAGAGTTAACATTTCCTTTTAGGTTTTCAGATTAATAAAGTAAATAATAAAAGTACATGTTGTTATTGTCGCTTGGGACTCATTTCCCGCACGTGCGCAGATGACGACCCTCCCACTTTAAGTCTTGAGCACCCCAGACAATTCGCATTAATGAAAATAAGATTATATTAACTCATATTACTAATCGAGGGACAGTAAAAAGTTGTATACTATGCTGTTTCCGCTTACTATTCGTACTGGGTATTTTATAAACAGTTGTAAAATGATAACTACGATTCATTGAAATCAAAACAAAGGACTGTCAGTTCGATGTACACTTAGTTAATTTGCAATTCAGTCATGAGTCTTCAAGCAGTACCAAATCATGATAGTCCGACGTTGTGATATATTCCAGCACACTTGGCATGGGTCCAAGAAGTACACGTCAACCAACCAATCATAACGACGTGTTGATAAAATGCTGGCCTAATAATTGCTGTTACAGCAGCAGAGGTGGTCGGCCCGTCGACGGTTCGTGACCAGTAACATACACGGGTTCGTGCACTGGAAACGGTTGGCTTGTCAAAAAAGAGGAGTAGGGCTAATTAAACATATGCTATATGCTATGAAGTCGGTGTTTGTAATAACGACCCGGTCGTCTAACTGTGATGGGTAATTAACTTCTGTGACACGGACTGGAAGACATTTAAACTTTATTTACCCCGTAGTTAACTATATTCTGATGATTCAAATACTCAGATTAAAACTCGTACAATTACCATTTCTTTACAAAAACCGAAAAGCTCGATATCTTTTTTTTTACACAGCTTGAGGTTGCACTGCTCAGTGTGATTTTTAGGGAGTGGCCTCCAACGTCCATACACTGCAGGATTCTAAAATTTAACATAATCATTAAAATTGTCAATTGACACTCAAACACACATTTACAATTTAAGCTACTACACAGAATACTGTTTTGAAATTATGATCCAGCTTCTAAATGAAATGTGGATGATTCACCTTACTACACATTCTGTGAACACCATGGTAACGAAGTACTGGACCACTCTTTTATAATTACAAATTCACTGAGACCTTCTGGAATGAATTTTATGGTTGATTTAGAGGGTATCTGATGTTGGCTGACAAACCTATCTTAAAATATGTTACTTTTTTGGAACACTGCATATAGAGTTTTTTCATAGTCAATCTATTGGTAAGATACAAAATATGTAATATCAATGACATTTGTCGTCTACTTCACAGCCCGTTTTATACCAGATATTAAGGGCATTTCGCATTACATACAAGTTGTTTTTATCGACAGAATTCATTCATAGATCTCAAATTTTAATTAAGAATTCAAAGCCGTATTTTCTTCTGTTCAAACTGTGGATTGAAACTAATTACCACATCATAGAGTATGACATTTAAAGAAACAAACAAATTAGCGTACATTGTCAAAAATGGACTAGTGTATTGGAAGTGATTAATAACTAATTACAAAGTTGTACTTTCTAAGGTCTATGGATAAACCAACAAAAGTTAATTAAATAAAACAAATTTAATGCTGCTGTTCTGCAATTAACATATCGGGTTGTCAGGAATAAGACTAATTGTGTCTGAAGCAGTATATGGTAGGTTGTGTATCTGATTTGGGGGAATAGTACCTCAATAATAAATGGTAAAAAAGGAAATATAGTAAAAATCACGGAAATGACAAGGTTAATGAAAAAAAATAATAGCATTCAATGTACCACCCCAGTGCCAAAAGTAGAATCATTAGATGATGAGGTAAAACAGAAAAAAAACATGAGCGTGTAGTGGTGGTGTTTGTATATATTCAGCTGCATTCCTATTCTTTTAATCAAATATTAAGAGCATACTAAACTCAATTTGATTGTATTCAACGAATTTACTTACAGAATAATTACTCATCAATAGAGTAAAATTAACCTGTCTCATCTGGGCACATCACCTTTGACGTCACGGTTCTTACATTCTAGTTGTGTCATAGAAAATTGTTGTTATATTCGTGTATCCGAACCTTAATGAAAGAAATTAATCAACTTCCGGTTGTTCGTTGTCCGTTAATCAAAATGAGGAAATGCACAATGTTTGTTTTCCGTAAAGATTTATAATGCTCTTCAGGGGAAGTAGTTATGCCAATAAAATGTCAAAAATTATCAACACTGGCATGCAATTTCGGATTTTGCCCACTTTATTCAATTCACTGCGGATAGACAGTGATTCAACGTTTTTGACCACGAGACGGGAACTCCGTGTACAGCCGGCGTATGGGTAAGTGATAAAAGTAAGCGTTCTGAATTACTGATATGTACTATTAATTCGAAGCGCACAAGCCGTACAGTATTATACATTAAACCAACCAACGACTACATGTATTTCTTTTATGATTCATTATAATAACCTATCGTTAATCAATAATTACTTGAAGGACGGTGATCGTCACGCAGTGTGTGTTTGAATTTTGAATAAATAAACGTAAGTCCCCTATCGAACAGAACGCGGCGGAACAACCACCGCCCTTTAATCATGTCGTACATACATCATTCTGAAATGTACGAGCACCTTACTAATCATACAAATAATAGTGACGTAATCACTATATGATCGATAGTACAATTACGCGAGGAGACACTGTGTAGTCATAACAACACGAGTGAACTATGATTATTTTGTGTTGACATGATTTAAAAATTAAAAAAAGTCTTGCGGTACTCGCGGACTGATGCTACGCAGATCTCAGTTTTTAGTACCATGGTTGTCTAAATGACTTTTTTTATTCCACACCCAGGGCTACATTACATAATTCAAAATTCTGCAGCCAATATGAACGTATGTTCATTCGGATCAAAATGATTTTAAAAAAACATAAGAAAAGACGTGAAAATAGATAAAATGTGTTGGCAACATTTTGGCGGGAATGATTATGGCGCTCAGGATATCAGGAGTCACGATAGCTACTATTTACGAATGGGACGATTCTTTACCAAATGCACCCTCGGGCCACTACTATAATTGCGAGGACATTTGTGAAAGAGCTTGACCTGGAGGCGCCAACTGCCAGCAAAGCACGCTTGCACGCTTCCACTCACTGGCTGCAAACAACCATCGTGATACCCGACACGGAGTGAAGTCAATAGCGTAATCTAGAAGACGTTTAACTAACTGTCTTGAATTCCATGTTTTGTTTCACTAATAGGTGCGTATGATCTGCAAGTAACGTGGGAATCGCCGGGGTCGTTGGCCGTTCAATGGAGTCCGTTTCTTCCAGCGTCATCCAATTATCGCTATGCGCTGTTTTACATTACTGTTGAGTTCAACCCCATCCTCGAAGAATGGTCTGCTAGAGATGTAAGATCAAACAGAACTTTTCAATATTAGTAATTTGTGATGTGATATTGTATTGTATTAATTAGTATTCGCCTATACGCAGTACGATACATTCAATAGTGAAGACCCGAGAACTGGTCTAAATCTTGTGCGTCTGTACTCCTTATAGGTTGGCGTAAATCCTGAATTTGTTCTTGATGACGTCCAAGCGAACACCGATTATTTCATCCAAGTGGTTTCCATGACAATCGATATGCACCATATACTAACCAAGTCCGAAGTGCTCGTACACAAGACACACCCACGTGGTAAAAATATTTTAAATGACATTTTTGTGCAATTTTTTTCTTCTGGAAAATGGATGTTTTCACTGTGCTATGTGACCCGGGCGCGTTTAGAGTATGACATTTCTCAAGGTGATAACAACCGTCTACAGGGTCATCTATTTATCGATCTCAGCTTGGAATGGTTATTAATTGTTTAGAGAGTACTAGTCCCTATTTATATTAAACCACATTTTATTCGTTCCAGGTACTGACTGCACGAATCAACTGGGTGAGCGTTACACCACGGGCGAATCATTTGAAGACGGTTGTCGAGTGTGCACATGTCATTACGGAGAGTGGACATGTATCACACGAGCATGCCCACCGCCTCCTGACGTCATAATCATAAACCCAGTG